TTTTCCCCCTTGGCACTACAGACCCAGTGGGCCTAGGCCTACCTCCATGAACTTCTCCGTTCACTTCGGTTTTTCTAGATCTTAGACATTCGGTAGGACTCCTTGGGCGGGTGATCAGCTCGTCGCAAGGCCTCTACCTGTAGACAAACACAGAAAAACGCACACAAACATCCATGTCCTGAGTGGGATTCGAACCCACGATCCCGGCTTCCGAGCGAGCGAAGACAGTGCATGTCTTAGACCGCTCGGCTACCGTGACGGGCTACCCTAAGCTTAATCTTTTAGTATCATTAGAGGAGCAAGAACGTGCATCCCACTGGAAATTCTAAAGCCTCAGCAGTTGATACAATAGCACAAAACCAACTTAATCGAGAGGACGCGAGGGATACTCTTGGCAGTAAGTTGGCATGCAACGTGATTAATCGTCAGTATCCGAAAATAGACTGAGGGCATTATTTACGTTGGATAAACAAGAAGGCATGTGGAACATACAGACCTGGGTCAGGCGGACTCACAGGCAGACAATTGTTGGAGATGCATGGGGCCTGTCCCTGGGACCCCACGCGGGAGCAGCTGGGATGAGACAACCCTGCGTGTTGCATGAGTCCATTGTGCGTATACATGAGCACACGGCAAAAAGCTGGGGTAATGTTGCAGTATTTGTGGGTTGGGGAGAGATGTAGGCGGTTACCAATGGAACAGGAAAAATATTACCAACTTATTCATTGCCGTACCAATAGCTTTCCAGGGGCTGGATCGTCTAATGTACTTTCTGGCAGATCTGACTTATGTATTCGTCTAAGGTAGGCCGTAGACCGGCATGCGTCAAGACATGTAACAGTCAAGACACGATTTCTGCGACGTGACGCAAAGAATGGAGCACAATTGAAAAGAATGAGATTATGAAAACCGCCGGACACCGGTCTGAGTCATGATGCTGACCTCATTACTCAGAACAGGTCTATTGTACCTGCTCATGCTGGTTCACTCGCCGATTTCCTCTTGTCTTCTACCCTGAAGATGAAGGCGATAAGTTCCTCAGAAACGTCGGTTAACACTGTATCTACACGGTGCCATATCATAGTCACAGCCGTGAAAATCTCAAATCTTACACAGAAAAATCTCTGCTCCGACGGCAATTGTACTCCGGTAATCTAGCATGTAGTCTAGTCACCGTACTGACTGAGCTACCCTGCCTCTAATAGACACACAAGTACACATCTTAGGCTTATATCTTGTACAGTATTTACATGAAACTTTGATTTCGAGAACATTTACTAGCGATAACAAGTGCCTTGTATTGAAAGCGCTGCTCAGCCTCCTTGTATTCGCCTATTCTCTTTGCACAGTGGTGCATGTACACAGAAGATATACGTCGGGCGAAAAGGAACGAACCCTGTCAGTGCCACCCTTAAGGCGTGTCCACATTACTCGTGCTCGTACTCGTACTCGTGTGACTCGCTATGCTGGCGAGTAATGTGGACGATATGACAAGTCACGAGACAAGCAAATTTTAAATTTTTAATTTAAAAACTATAGCCAATAAATTAGTGAATTTGCTCGTTCCTCTTATCACACCAATTACTATCGAACACACCCAATTGTTCTACTCCCAGGTTCTTTTTAGAATGAACTGTAATATAATTGTTTATTTAGCGTAACCTTTATGTATTGAAAGTTAATGCTTGCTATATTGTCGTTAAGAATGATAGCAGGCAGTCGGAAATAAGAGCAGAAGATGGTAGTAATAGTTACCAGCGTGAGATATGCCTGATTTTGTATTCTGTGTCCACCTTTACAGAAGAAGTATGATAGCATACATCTACACAGAAGCCCTGTTTACCGACTAAAGTTATGTTATCAAGTTAATGTCTTTATTTTATTGCTAGTGGGGTGGGACTAAGTCCTTTGTACTGCGGCCACTTCTGGCCTATTGTACCAGTCCCAGATGATAGGTGAGGGTGATTGTGGAGCAATTGGTAGAATGAAGATTGGCAGGGGAAACCGAAGTACTCGGAGAAAACTTGCCCCAGCGCCATTTTGTCCAACACAAATCCCACTTGACCAGACCCGGGATCGAACCCGGGCCGCAGCGGTGAGGAGCCAGCGACTAACCGATTGAGCTATGGCGCGGTCGAAATTAATGCCTTAGTACAAGTATAACTGATACTGTCTTTCCGGAACTGTTATCAATTTATGTGAGCTTATTATTATCATCATCATTATTTCTTATTAACCTTTTCAAGAACAAAACTGACTGTTGTTCTGTTATGGACACTGTTGGTCTCCGTGTACCCACTAAACAAATTAGAGACTTTCCCACCTTATAAGTCAGTAATGTCTCAGGATTTAACCCTTCAACAGGGCGTGTCACGGCTGAAAACAATATCACCAGATCTGTGGACGTTTTCAATAAACACATCTCCCTTCAGGATACATTGTCCTTTGGTTAATCCTGCTGAGTTACGTCATTGTCGTGTTGCCTGTATTGGTTTATTGCCTGGTATTAAATTTTAGTCTAGTTCTAGTTACAGCCTTAGTCTAGCTTTTGTTACGTACACTTTCAGTGCTCGTCTGTTATTGGCCGCTCGCTGTTGGCAAGCACTTAAATAAAGGAACAGAACTGAATCGTCATCACGATCGCACGTATGTACAGGTAAAGAAGTTCCTAATCATTATATTGACGTTCTTGATTCCATAAAATTAAATAAGGCTGGAAAGATCTCCCCAAATTAGTTTTTTGCAGGTTTCCCTGAGGTAATCTACGTCATTAGGCTTGCCTTTGATGTACATAATATGAATGCAAAAGGCAAAGCTATCTCTGTAACAGGCCATGAAGGCCCATAGGGCTGTGAGACGTCGAGGCTTCCACCTCTTCTATATAGTCAGCCTATAGATGACCTTAAGGTTGTCAGCATTACGCGTCGGCCACCTTTTACTCCCCAAGAAAATTATTGGTACTCTTTTCTGTTAGAGGCTTAGTCGACCCGAGGGGCTATAGTGTGGCTGGAAGGATTAGGTCAATTGAAAAATTCAATGGCCTCATTGGGATTCGACCCCGCGGCCATCAGGCTTGCAGCATAGTGGCCCAATCGACTACGCTATCGTGTACCCTCATAATGGGATATATTATTGCAAACAAAAAAAAATTTTGCTACATTTTAATAATGTCGAAAAAGAATTGATTTAAAATTGCTAGATTTAAGAAAATATGTGCTTCATAAACTGCACAATTTTTATACGATGATTCATTTGTAGAAAAACTATACATTTTAATTTGAGCTTCACTTATGTTAGGGAGAAAGACCGATACAAACCGAGATTAAATTCGTCCGTCAACTTCTATTCCTCAGTCCCTTCAAAAACAAATTTAAATAAAATCAGTTGAGTAGTTACACGTATTCTCGTGGAACAAACATGCGGAATGACATATATATACACTGTGTAAGATTTCAGGTTTTCACGGAGATGAATATGAAGAATGGAGTCTTCTTGGATGTGGTGTCGTGCAGATATAGTATAAACTTACGTTTCAGATGATATACCTTGAAGATGGAGGCGATACTTTCCTCCGAAACTTAAGTTTATACTATATCTACACGACGCCACATCCAAGAAGACGGCATTCTTCATATACACCGTGCGTTTAGTCTTCTGAACTATGTGAAAGAACACCTCAAATATAAGATGCAAGAATAACCTTACTTTCTTTTTGTCGCTTACTTTACGACACTGCCAGTATTTAGAATACCGTATTTATGCATGTATAGGCCGCAGCACAATTTTCAGAGAGAAATTAGAGAAAAAATAATTTTCTTGGAATATTATTTCAGGAGTATTACACCCTGTATTACTAATTATGAATATAATTTTTTTTTAAATGAAGTGTGATTTCGAATATTTCGAATATAAGCCGCACCCCAGTTTTCCTCTTGAATTTTTGGCAAAAAATATGCGGCCCATACATGCGTAAATACGGTATATAGCGTTGAAATTGTAGTATAACTCATGAATCAGAAAGAACTCTGAAGTAGTGGTCATGGCCTAATAAAGGTACTTTCACCTAATTTACCTGGAGGAACTGGGAGAAACCACGAAAAGAAAAAAACATCAGCCAGGATAGCGGATGTTCCAGCCGGGATTCAAACGAGCACACCCAGATTACTAGTCTAAAGCTTCGAAATCGTGTTGTTTTCCTCTTTATTAAAAGACAATAGTCAATAGACCTTAATTTTTGTTAAACTGTAAACTTAATAAAATTATATAAAATACTATGTAAATTATGAGGTCGTTGGATTTTTTTTTTTCAATTGACCTAATCCTTCAAGCCGCACTACGACCCCGAGGTCGACTCAGCCTCTAACAGAAATGAGTACCAGGAATATTCCTGGGGGTAAAGGGCGGCTGGCTAGTAGGGCTGACAACCTTACCGTCATCTGTGAGCCGATTGTCTAGAAAATGTGGGAACCTCGATATCTCACAACCCTATGGGCCTTCACGGCCTGTTACAGGAATATCTTTACTCTTTTTTTTTTTACTTTACTATGTAAATTTTATTATCATTTCTCATTTAGGTTGGATAAGATTTAGAAAAAATAATTGTAGGCGCAATTCGACCAATTCTGTCCGGTTTACCACTGAATCTTAAAAAGAAACCAGAGAAGTGTGTAAAGTCTGCACACATAATGCATGATATGACTGTTGGATTAAATGACTGTCATAACAAAATATCGTGTCACTTGCTATAATCCGAAGTGTACCATAGACGCACGCCCCTAAGTGAAAACACCTACATGTAATCGATAAAAACTTTGTCACTGATAATAGTGTTAAATTTCTTAGGTTGGTAGCTCTGCAGGCCTCATGAACCCATGTGCGCATAGACGGGGAGCAGATTAGTACATATATCTATGTGGGAACAAAAAAGTTGTTAAAGCGGGAGTGGAGGGAGAGTGAATGAGAGAGAGAGAGAGGTAGTACAAAAAGAAACAGACTTGGCACGGGGGTAGGCAAGAACCAATCACATATGACTTCGTAAGCTCATATTGTCACGCGCAAAGCATGCTGGTTCCATGAGTACGACAAAATATCACACGTATACATACTAGCTGTAAATTGTAGGGTGGTCATGGTGCACTTCAAACACAGGGGCAGTATTATTAACACGTACTTATAGTTAACACTATTTCGCACGAATGAAGTTTTTATAATTTTGTTTAAGTTCTTTATGCCGTTATCAAACGAATTTGAATGAGCATAAGACGAACGTGTGACTTGTTTTTGAATCATTTTTTCAACATTCGCTGTTGTTCGGAAAGGGATTTTAAATTTCGAACAGCTGCAAGAAGAGAGTGCCAGTGGGGGAACCCTAAATATAGCATTAGGAGGCAAGCTAGCTAGCTACTGCGACGGACCGAGTGTGTGGTGGTTAGAAGCTACAGCAGACGGGGCTGCAGTACAACGGTCACCGGTAGAATCAAACAAAACATCTGTGACCGTCCAACCGGATGGGACAAAGTGAAAATACGCAACAATTCAGTGCCTTCGAGTGTGTTCTGTGATTGCTCATATCTGTCCAAGGACACTAAATGATATATTTCATAAGCATGCGGCTACAAAACTGTATTCTTTCAAGCTAAATCAAAGGCTGTGTATGAAGATAATTAAGTTGGTGATATCATCTGAAGATATCCGTTTTGCAAATAAGAATAAGAAGTGCAATAACGTAAAAAGTGCAATTTTTGTATGTGTATATATATATATTTATAATTTAATAAGTAAGCCGCCATTTATTTAATAAACAAGTCTTCTAACCGTCCTAGAATTTGCCTTTGGAAACTGTTGATATTCTCGTGAGAGTACATGTTCTTCTGTACGAATATCTTACAGTCGTTTTCAACAAGAGACAAAAAGTGTGATAATTAATCAAGACAGCGACATAAGTGATTAACTATTATATCTGTATATCAGTACTTTGCTGAATTTTATACGTAAATACGGAATTGAAGTAATTTATTGAAATATTTTACAGAAATCTTGAGACAAATCCAAGTGTATTCAGTTTCAAACTTAACCGTTTCAGGGAGTCCTGCCGTGAATTAAACTGCATAAACGTGGTTAGGTCAGGACGGTGGTGGAAGTAAATAGATAACTGGATAAGAAAGGAAGTTTCGATTTCAGTAACGTTTTTAAAGAAATTATATCGAGATTTAAAATTACTGTGATAGAAGACGCATATAAAATAACGTAATTTACGAGTTACGCTACAATAAACCCGTTCTAAAGCGCAAGGCATCTGCGCACAAGTGACGACAGTCGTAACTTGCAAAACTAACCTCACTCCAATATGTTAATGCCGGGGGCAGCCGATGCGGCAGCTGTTCTTGGGGGAGCTGATGGATTGGTGACGGGACTGGGGGTTGGAGGTCTCGGTGGGTTGGGTGCAGCAGCCGCGGCCGCAGCCGCAGGGGCTGCCAGTGGAGTGCAACAAAAGGACACCACGTGGACTAAACTGTTTGTCGGAGGTCTGCCATATCACACAACGGACAAATCATTGAGAGAGCATTTCGCCGTGTATGGAGACATCGAGGAAGCTGTAGTTATCACAGACAGACAGACTGGCAAAAGCAGAGGTTATGGATTCGTAAGTATTCAAGCAATAATCACTTCTTTGCTTGTTCATGACCCTTAGCATCTGCCGTCTGCTTCTTAGAGATTTCTTGCTTGGCATATTTTTCAACCTTGAAGATGCAAATAGTATGTTCAGCGTAGTCACAGTTGTAGAATCTAGTCTCTTAACTCATTTTTATGTTTTCTGTGTAATTGCACACGAGGGAAGGGTGCTGAAAGCTATAACCTGCCTTACACACTACGTATGTGGGGTTTTCTTTGTCCTTGGGGAACCTACAGTAACATATTTCGATCTTACGCAACCCCATAGTACAATAGCTTCCCTGAAAGACAGATAGTGATTCAACAACTGGCCAGGAAACACCTCTTTCTTTTGAACCAGAAGGTCCATTACTTACTTACTTACTCATGGTTCTGAGCCCTTCTTGAGGAGCAGCCGATTGTGCAGCTATTCAAGAAATTCCCAGCATTTTGTGGAACCAGAAGGTTCGTTACCGCGTTCAAAAGAGCCCTCCACTGGTCCCTATCCCGAGCGAGATCAATCCAGTCCATACCATCATTACCATATTATATATGGTATATATATGAAATTGTCTATTTCCTTCAGATTTTCCAATCCAAATTTTGCACGTATTTCTCATTTCATAACAGCTTTAAATGGTTCATAAAAACAGCCACTCTCATAGATTCAAGTGAAACTTAAATTTGCCACTCGCGCGCAAGCACGCACACATATATACAAATTAGTTCTTTAACCACTTAATGAAAACTTTGAATTTTAGAGTTTCAAAATTCATACCAATGATTGTAGCGTTAGGTTTGGTAAAGTGTTTAAAGTCAGCTTAAGTGGCACGAGTTTCCGAGATCGGCAAATAACCAAGAACTGAAAATTAAGCTCTGATTCAACTTAACTTAAAATTTGATAATGAAATATCTTTAATGTCAAATGCCGACAAGACTCGGCCGCTTAAGTCTCGCTCCTAGTACTAGAAACCATAACTTATATAGCCCTTTCCTGACCGACTATGCCTCATTAACACAAAAACACCTTAACTGTTCTCCTGGCCAGCAAATACGGGCTGCAGTGCGACTTAAATGTGTCGAATCTGGTGTTTAGTGACTATACTCTTAGCTTATTTAGTGATGATGTTTATATAACACAATCAAGAATATGTGGACTAAAAAGAAAAAAAGCAATGGAAGGATCGGGAAACTATATAATGAGGAATTTAAAAATTTGTACTCCTAAATTAATATTGGTTGGGTAGATAAGTCCGGTCTAGAAAACCGAGATTAATGGCCGTGGGGATTGGTTGCGCTGACCACGTGACACCCTCTATTCGCTGAAGTTGGCACTAACTTCGCCGACAAATGGCGGTCGCTCAGTCGGTATGGCTCGCTTGTGGACTAAAACCGCGGAGTTTTTTGGGTAGATAAGTAGGCTGGGATGAGTGGGACATGTATTACGTATGCTTGCAGCAACTTGGTTGGGAAATGTCAAGGGAAGAGATAAATAAGGAGTAGGTAGGCCTCTATGGAAGAATAATAAAACAAAGAGTTCCGAGAAGAACTCATTAGTCTAATTTCCTACTCTCTCTCTNCCCCCCCAGGAAGATTCCTGCTACTCATTTCTGTTAGAGGCTATTTTATTGTTATGAAAGCTTAAGTACGGTTTCTGTATTGTTCTGCGTTAAATTTTATCGGATATAACCCTGAGGTGTTCCACTGTCGCTATGTTTGTAGCACTTGACTTAACAAATATATTCCATGTGCAGTATGTAGACTTGCGATTTATAGACATCCATACCAAATTCCACATGCCTAGCTCCAATGACTCATTAGCTATCGCCATTTAATTATGCATTGCTAGAGTCACAAGATGGCGAGTTCGCCATTTTGTTAGTACTGATTTAGGACATTGAAAAGTACGTAGATGAGGTGCCTTCCAATGGTATAACGTTCACATCTTTTATTGGTTCAAAATTTTAAATGGCGTGACACAAATCACACACAGACACCAGTCAGATTCAAATGACCCAGTACAAGCTGATATAATGGGCTTTTATATAATATAAATGTTAGTAGAATATTCTGTGTTCTTAAATGTAAGAAATTTCTTGACCGGAAAGTCCATTTATAACAGATAAATTTCACTTTATATCTTATATTTCGTCACGTTAAGATGTGAAGGTGACCATGAATGATGGAAGGGATATAGCAGGAGACGCCTCAATATCCTTTCTATTTCCTGGAATGACTGAGGAAACGTAAGAAAAAAATCAGTAACCATGGCTCAGAATCGAACCACGGACACAGTTAATACAAGTCTATTGAGTTAACGTTACACTAAGCGGCTCAGTCGGTATGTAGGTTTGTTAAACAGGATGTTTATAACCGTATCTTCCAAAAAGCTGTGACGAAATTCATATTTCAATATCAGTCATCTCAAACAACGGAAACAAGCTATATGCGCAGTACGTGTTCTGTAAAATTAAAATCTGAAATTGTCCCTGTATCCAAGAACCGTGTCACAAAGGCGTATGGAGAACATGAAACTAGAACTCCACACAATCTAGAACTTGGCATCACGTAGCTTGATATGATTCGTTAGTAGAAAGCAGTTTAACGTCATGGGAAAACTGCTTCCTTTATCCATGGAGTAGGACGTTGAATGGATCCCACAACCGGTATGGATGAAAAAATCCATGTCACTAATGGGGAACGAAACCCGAATGTCGAGTCTGTAACACGTCAGTTAACTGAAGTATCAAGGATTGTTACAGAAACACGCTGCTGTAAAGTAAGCTTGCCCATATACTGGTACCAATAAGCTAAGCCATGAAGACGTCAAGACCGCCTCTGTGGGCTAGTGGTCAAAGTTCGTGGTTATAGATCCAAAGGTTCCGGGTTCAATTTCTGGCGCTGCCACATTTTCTGAGAAGTAGTGGGTCTGAAACGGGGTCCACTCAGCCTCGTGAGGATAACTGAGAAGCTATTTCAAGGAAAAAGCGGCTCCGGTCTAGAAAACCGAATTAACGGCCATGGGGATTCGTTGCCCTGACCACGCGACACCCTCTATCCACTAAAGTTGGCATTAACTCCGCCGACAAGCGGCGGTCTGTCTGTCGGTATAATTCGCTTGCGAACTACAGGTCACGGAGTTTGTTTTGTTTCTGTTTATGAAGATGTCGAGAAGGCATGACAGTAAATTTCTACGAATTAATACTAGATGAGCGTGACCGGTTACACTCAAGCCGTATCATTTCAAGTGAACTAGTTCATATTTTCATTGGATATGTTGCTAGACCCCGGAGTCGGTATGTGGCGAAAAGTTAAGCCATGCTACTGACATGAATCGAGTCCCGATCTCCAATCATGTGGGCAATTTCTTTCAGCATTGATCGTGATATACCTTCTTCGCCATGTAGGAAAAGCGTGATCAAATCAAGGGGGTGCAAATAGACAGGGTATGTAGCGTGCATGGGTGGGATGTTAGTCCGAAAACCCGAGTTAGAGAAAACATTGCGATAATTCAAACGTAGGCAAGAGAGGAGCAAAAACTGATCACATTAAACTGGTTAAGGGTAGGGCAGAGTAGGGCAGCAGGTTCAACAAATTTTTCACAAGCTGAGCGACTACCGGAGTCTCAAGGAGGTTCCCACCGTCCTCCATGAAATTAGTTGATAATCTTCGCGTAATGTTTAATTTAATTCTTGAGATACTGCGGGACACGTTTCTGTCACTGACCGTTTTCAAAACATCATATAACTTAAATCTGGTTCAAGAGGGGCAGTAATTCTAAGCGACATAGGATAAAAAATGTAAAGTTGTCTCTATGTTTAATTAATTATGTACCGTGTCATGCAGACGTATTGGGGACTGGAGGTATAGCTGCATTGTTCTTGATCTCTGCTCTAGATGGAGATGAACGGTCAGCTTCAAGCCCCGGCCGCTTTTCTCCCGGGGAAAGATTCCTCGGTACACATTATATGAGACCCCGGAGTAAGTCTGGACGCTGTGGAGTATATCCCTTGCCTCTGTCGGCAATTGAACATTGGTCGTTCAGCTAGTGTGAATGAATGAATGAATGTATAAGGGGTGGGTCTTCTTGGCCCTTGCACCGCGACCACAGTGATCCATTGTGCCTCACCTTCTGATTATCCCCTCAACAACCTGTGCTTCGAATGAAGCGTAGGATTTTGAACGTGGGGACGTCGAAACAGTCACTTGGTTCCATAAAATATTGACCCAAGTGACGTAATCTTAAATAAGCTAAGGCCTCACATTCGCACAGGATATGTGTGGCTTATCATTTTCTTCTTGACACCTCTCACAAGTGGGACTATCACTTAGTCCCAGTTTGAAGAGGTGTCCATTGAGGTGACAGTGTCCTGTAAGTAGTCCTACCACCCATCGTAGCTGGTTCCTGTTTAACTTCAACAGTTCCTTCGCTCTTTTATTAGATGGTCCTTGTATGAGTCCCTTTGCTTGCCTGAGTCCAGTCAAGGATCCCCAGTATTTCTTGTGTTTCATATTTGTCCAGTCTCTGATTGCTTTTCTGGCGACTCCTATAGAGATGCCACAGGCTGGTTCAGGTCCTATGAACGGATGTTCAGCTCCAATCTTGGCCAATTGGTCTGCTGTTTTGTTTCCAGCAATACCCTCATGCCCCGGCACCCACAGCTGTACCCTGTTATGTTTGGCCAGTTCCATGAGAGTTTTGTGCCAATCCCAAACCAATTTTGAGTTGATCTGGTGTTTGTCAAGCGCTTTAAGTGCAGCTTGGCACTTGGTGTAGATGTTCCTGTTTCTGTAATTCCTATCTAGATTCTCCATAATACTTCCCTTAATGGCATATACTTCTGCCTGGTATACTGTCTTGTACTGCCCAAGGTAGAAACTAAGTTTCCGCCTTGTGCCATGGCAGTACACACCAGCTCCGGTGCCCTCATTTCTCTTGGAACCATCTGTATACCAGATCAGTTCCCCTTTTCTATCGGGCCGAAACCCGTC